AACGGAGCCAGCCATTATGCCTTAGAGACCCTGTATTGATCTTCGCAGACAAACCACTAAATAGGACTTGACTGCTACACAATGGAGGATTAATTCTCCTTTCCACATAAGCTTACAGTGGGCATGTCAATGTGCATTTATGAAACCTCCCTCTGTGTGGAGAAGGGAGCAGAGACTCTAATAAACAAATTAATGTAGGGAAGTCAAAAGGGGAATGTGGCCAGCAGGTTTTGTTTTTCTTACATTAAACTCTATTAAATGAAGTCAGAAGAAAAACAGGTTTTTATATAACTTCCTAACTTTATTCATGGTTTTTTGACTTACCACTTATGCGTAGTATGATGCTAATTATTTCATATTTTAGAATGAATAAATTGTAATTTTTTTTTTTTTGCCTCTGTGAGGCTTTCTTGTTGAAACATCTCAAAAGATTCTAGATTTGAAATGAGTGAATCATTTCAAATTATGAGCTCTTGCTATCCTAGAAACATGTTAATTTTGAGTGGAATTTTGCTTAGGCTTAACTAAACTAAGAAGTAGGAAAGTTCTCTTAGTTGATTCTTTGTCTGAATGATCGCAAACAAATGTCACATTTAAGAAAAGTATTTTTTTTACACTAGACTGATTAGACATGGATACAAGTTTAACTCCCTAATTATTAATTAATGACAAAAGTCAAATGAATCTACAAGTGGTTTTTAGGGAAGATAGCAAGTGGAGAACTTAGATGGAAAGTTACATGTTGCATTTAATATAAAGTCAGAGAATATTTTGGTTCCTATGAAGAGCTGTCACTATATACCTACTGAAATATGGTGCCATTAATGAAAGAGGATGTGGGACCGTGGTGATAGGTGTTAATTTTAAGCCCTATGATCTTTCTCATGATATGTGATGTGCTGTTTTAATATCTCAGCTTTCCTACTCAAAAACAAAAGTAACCTTGCACTAATTATAATTCTTGAGTACTAACATAGCAAGTAAGTGACTTTGAGGATAATTTAAACAAGTTTGTCCTAGCTGTTTTTGCACCTGTGTATATTAGAACATCCACCATTCACGTGGCAATGTCTTCTTCCTTGAGCAGGAACATCTCACTCCCACAGAGTAATGGATTCAGGTAAGAAAAGCAGCCACCAGTTAAGGGCTATTAACTGGAAGCAAAGACATAGGTATAGAAATATTTTCTGTGCTTTCATAAATTAGGTATGTCATGTCCGAGTTGTTTTAAAGGAACAAAATCACCCTTGACCAATTCCTTACCTTACCCATTATGCAACTATCATTTTTCTTTTTTTCAAGACTAATCTTAACATCTCTAAAACAAAATAAAACAAAACAAACCGTCTGGACATCAGAGACTCTTATTTTAAACACCCTGCCAAAGCCCTGCCATGTGCGAGCAGAGAGATGTGAGTCACCCACAGCGATCGCCTCTACCAGCCAAGATCCTTTTTAATCAGTCAAGTTTGATCAGCAATGGCAGTGTTCTATCTCTAATGCCTCAGAGGATGAATGCCAAGGAAAACCAGAGAAATGCGTGGAGGAATATTGGGGATATTTGGTCTGCACTATCTTCAGGCTCTAAGCTCTTGATTCATAATCATCGATCGCTGGTATTCCAATAAGTCTTTAATTATCTCAAGGGCTATTTACTATTTCCAAAAAGGGTTTTTTTGTAATCTAATTTATATTTAATTCACTTGAAGAGTATATATATGGAATTCTCCTTTCTAATTAAAAATGGGGTATCTTATAAAATCAAAACTTGAAAAGAAGGACATCTCCATTCCCAAAGGCTAGGGATGGCTACTGTAATGAGATTTTCCATTTTTATGCTCTATTTCATTATGCCGTATTACCCCCCACGGGAAGATAAATGCCATAAATATTAAATGCGAGCAAATGGGATGATACAGAAAGAACAGACAAAATGTATCTGAACATTGCTAAATTCTTGTGATACCAAATTAATATACGATTCTGGGAACAAGAGTTCAAAGATCAGAAATAACAACTGGTAAAGTGCATCTGTGTGATCAGTTGTATCTATGGATAGTTATTTGCTAACACAATGTTGGCTCATCCTGCGTTGTAGTACAAACAAATCTATGAATTATAGCTGAACACTTTTTATATGTTAATTTCATTGTGTTCTATAACCAACACATGTTTTTACTTACATAATCAGATAAAAACAGTGATTTATTTTCTTTGTCAGAACTTCCTTATCATCTAAAGAAAACTTTATCTGATCAACTTAAATGGTAAAATAAAATTCTCAATGATTGAACATGTTCATACCACTCTCAATGGAAGCATGTAGGAAGGAAATGATTTTTTTTTTTTTAATGAAGAAAACAAGTGAGTTTGTTTAGGGAAACTGAAGGACTGTTGGGCTCAGAAATCCATATCACATGTTTGATTTTCTTGTATAATTGCATATCTATTAGCATTTGAGATGAAATAATAATTGATGTGCTCAAGAGAGCACTGTAAAGGAGGTACTATGTGCCAGATATCAGCAAAAACCTCTTTTTATTCTTTAGCTCTCCTGAAATAAGCTGTTGCACAGGGGAAAATGTTGGTCATCAAGCCACTATTATTATTGCTATGTATGGAATTTGCTTCTGATACTCCAGAAACACTAAACCAAACCAACAAGTATAGTATGTCACCACAATCCAGACCTTCTGGAGTCCTTACCCTCACCTTTAAAACTGTTCAGTTCACATAATTAATGACAGGGCAGCAAAACCTCCCAAGGACAACGAGGTCTGGAAGTCCCAGTTGGCACATTAGTGTGTTTCAGGAAAAAATTGGTGCAACTAAATTTCAGAGTAGCAAGAGATGACAGGATCATTTGAATGAGGGTTTTACATGGAGGCACTTGTCACTATTCATGTCCATCTGATGGCACATTTGCCCAGATTTGTGACCCACTTAAAAAAAAAGACTACTGTTACTGATTATCAAACACTAATGTATTATTATGCCCGTTGTTACTGTTTGCCGGTTGATGGCATTTTATCTGAAGCAACGTGATTGTGAGTGATTTCATTTTAATTTTGACAAGACATGAAGTCAGTGCACCTGCAGTCAAGTTCAGCTCTGTCTCCTCCCAGCGTTGTGACGTTGAGTAAATAATCAAACCTGAAACTGCTTGCTTAGCTATAAAGTGTGGGGATAAGCATATTCACTCTTTTCCTACTTCCTGGTTTGTGCAGAGGTTATTACTCCAGGTGGACTCCTTGCTGTTGAGATGAGTTGGTGTCTGGAGTCCCTGTAGACTCCTGAGGCGCTTCCCTTACGAAGGGCTGAGTGTATATGACGCTGGTCATTTCTAGTCTACCTTGGATAAAATAGCAAATACATTTATTAGACATTATGGTAAGAACCTTATATGGAAAAATCATTAATAATACATTCATAACCCCACCATGAGGTAGGTCCTGTTACTCCATCTATTTTGCAAATAAGAGAAAGGAGGCTTAACGGGTTAGGTGCCTACAAGGACAATCACAAGAGAGGCAAGAGGAGCTAGGTGGGCCTGACCTCATATTCTTCAAAGGGCTCACATGCAGTCAAAAGATTTATGAATGAAACTGTGCAGATAGATGCTGTGCATGCTTATTAATGGCAGAGCCAAAATCTGAGCCCAGGCATTCTGGGCCTTGCAGAGGAAATAAAAGTCTTTCCAGAAGCAAATTAGGATCAATCCTGAATCTGTTCAGGAAATTTAGGCTCAGCTATCACTTCAGGAACTTGTAGCTGGTTTTTGAACTTCCAATTTAAGATTACTATTTCTTTCATTTCTGTCTGTTTTAAAATCAAATTAAATTTATTTTCTTAGATGGAAATGCTTTCCTCTTTTCAGTATGGACTTCTGTTTGCTCTCCTTATCTAATGCTCTTTTATTCATTTATATTTTTCCTAGACTATAAAGTTATGTTAAAAAAATACATTTCAGAAATCCCAAATCAAAAGAAAACCATAAAACTGAAGTTTTAAAAAATACAGAGGCTCCACAGATACCAGTACGAATTAGACCTACCAGACCGAAAAGCTACAGCTTTCTTATCTCAGTCCTTTTAGGGCCCAGGTTGACAAAGAGGAGAGCAGGACATATCAGCTGAACCTGTTTACATTAATTTTTAATCTTTTCAATTGAGACATCAGCTGTCATTCAGAGCATAAATATTCAGTCTTCTTCATTTTCCTTGACATTATTTAGAGTCTTTGTTATGCAATAAGTTCTTTTACTGTCCATTTGTGTATTTTTTTTAAAGATTTTTAAATTTTTATTTATTTGACAGAGAGAGAGACAGCGAGAGAAGGAACACAAGCAGGGGGAGAGGGAGCCCGATGCGGGGCTCGATCCCAGGACCCTGGGATCATGACCTGAGCCAAAGGTAGATGCTTAACGACTGAGCCACCCAGGCACCCCTCCATTTGTGTATTTTGATTTGTTCATTTATTGAGTTGCCTGATTATAACCTGATACTTAAATAGAATAAATTATGATCCTAACCATAGATACAGACTTTGGTGAACCCTCATATTAAAATGAACCAAAATAAAAAATAAACTCACTCTTACAAATCTGTACCAAATTGCTTTTTCAAAAAAAATTTTTTTAAGATTTTTTATTTATTTGTCAGAGAGAGAGAGAGAGATCACATGAGCATGTGTGGGGGTTGGGGGGGACAGAGACATTTAAAGTCTTTTACTTATTCCTAAAGAAATACAAAGAGTTCATGTCAAATCCTCAGTGACAAGAATGGCTATCTCCTTAATGTGATCTAACTTAGGGAACCCTATTGGGTTCCTTTTCCTGGCATGACCCTCTCCATGGCCTATTTGGCTCTAGTTGTTTTCATAAGAGAACACAACTTCTTTCAGTGTGGGCATTTGGTACTTGTTTTTGAGAGAGAGAGAGAGAGAGCATGTGAGTGGTGAGTTGGGGGGGGGGTGAAGGGAGGGGCAGAGGGAGAGAGAAAATCTTAAGCAGGCTCCACACCCAGCGTGGGCCCGAGGCGGGGTTCCATCTCATGACCCTGAGATCATGACCCTGAGCAGAAATCAAAAGCTGGATGCTTAACTGACTGAGCCACCTAGGAGCCCCTGCTTTGGTACTTTTTAAATTAAGTTTGACAAAGAACATCTTCATAGCCATCAGACATTGAACTGTTTTATGAATCCTGGTAAAGTGAATACAAGTCATTCAAATACAATATTGAATTCACTGCTTTGCAGAAACTAACCTTCAGTTGTATTGAGTAAATTATAAATGTTATACAGGATGTGGACTTAGAGATCTAAATGTACCTAGGCAATATAATGATGAAATCAGCGTCTGACTCTTCGATCAAATGCTAAGATCAGTATTTTCGATGAGAGAGTATAACATCTCTCAAACAATTCAGAACTCTACTTGTCATTTTATTTAATCATTTGTAAATCATATATATGTTAGTGTATATAAAATGCAATAAATAATCTATATTACATTTTTTGTACATTATACATATGAAGACTAAGGAAAAAGTTTAGGGCAAAAGTTTCTAATTGCAGTGTAGTTTAAGGAAATATGCTGTGTATTTATATCTTTAGATAAATAGTGGCAGAAAAGTAAAAAAGAAAAATAGGCGAGAGTGTAGACAGACAAAAAAATGTGTACTCTAGTGTATAAGAACATAACAGAGCTAACTGACGAATGTAAATTTAAACAGTGAGACAGAGTGGGGTAAAGGAGGCAATAGCTCTAGTTTGGGAGAATCATACAGTTATTATCATTGTATCCCTGGCTTTAGTGAGCTTATTGAGAATGAATTGGGTAACAATGCATACTCTGCCAGCCCTGGGTACAAATTCTAATGCTACCATTTACTAGCTGTGTGAGTTACTCAACCTTTATGAGACTAAAATTTCTCATCAGTTCAACAGACCAGAAAACCTGTTTGTTAATTATCTTGATACAATCTAAGTAATGGATCCTTAAGCCAAGACAGTCTCAAGTTGTAGTGGTAAATAAGAAAAACTTGTCTTTGTTATAGTTGCTAGAGCATTTGTCCTCAGAACTGGACTTCATGGCAGGAAAAACTGGAGAAAAATGCAAAATCAGTCCAGACCCAAAGAACTGTGAGGATGGTTGACCTTGTTTGTAACTGTCTCTCTCTCCAAAAAAGGGCTAAGAGTACGATGTCCTTCCGGCTAAAATATTTGCAATTGCATTACTGTATAATTTAACTTCTATCCAATTTTAATAATGAAGCAGAGGAGAAAATATTGCTGCACTAAATTACCTGCTCCCTACTCAGATTTGAATGTTTAATAACCCAGTCAATGGCAAAGCAATTATAAACGTCTGCAAATAAAAATAATTCCTATTCCTGGTGTGCAAACATATGTATCTGCCTCCTTTACTAGTTACACAGAAGTCTGAAAAAAGACTTGGGAGCTCTTTGTCACCCCCCATTGTCCTCACAGTGTACTAAAATCAGGTATCCTTATCTTATAATATGATTCATTGCTGTGAATTTGGGGTTCGGATATAGCACCACGGCGGACAGGGGAACAACCCGCGGCGAACGGAGACGGTCCACAGGGCGGCCCCATGGCTGTGCGCTCTGCGGCGTAGAACCACACCAGGTGCTCACCAGGGCCCCCCGCTTCGTTTAATGCTCTGCTCCCGAAGTTCCTCGTAATTCTCTCTTTGTTTTTTGTTTGGCAAATGAAATCCTGTGGGACGACGGCGCATGTGTGTGAGCAGAGGAGATGCACATGGCATTTGCGTCAGCTGTTCCTTGCTGATCCATTTGCATATGGCACGCCACATGTCCCCGGAGCACAGAATCTGGGGGACTCTCCATGCGTGAGAATTCTGCATACAAGGCGAATATTCAGATTTGCATTTAAAGCTGCTATTGCTCTCTATAAAGGTAACAGTAAACTTCATGGTAATAATTTAAAGTTTTAAGTTTTCTTTATTTAGATCCACATTCAGTAGCAAATAAAAAAATATGTCAAGTGAAAGGGAGCTGTGGAAGAAAGAATAAAGCTTTATATTTTAACACCATCAATGGCACCTTCCCCCTGCTTTTTGAACAGGGGCTTGCATTTTTATTTTGCACTGAGCCCTGACAGTTATGTAGCCTGGCTGGCATGGATAGGGTAACACAGGGGTTCATTCCAAAGGTTTTGAAGGCACTGAGAGCTTGATTTGGATCATGTTCTGCCTCTTAGCAATGGCTCCACTTTTCTAAGCCTCAGTTTTCCCATCATTTGAGTATTTAATCAACTTGCATTCATTGAGCCCACTGGGTATACTCTGCCCTTACATGGTAAAGTGGAAGATAGAAAGTATACCAATAAACAAAAAATAATTGCGTGATTCCATAGTATGATAAGTGCTGTGAAGAAAGTCCAGGATATTTGGGGAAAAAAAAAAAGCTAGGAAGGGTGTTGAGACAATGTATTTTGGGTGGTGAAGTATTTAAGTGGAGACACAGAAGATGAGTAGGAGATAACTGGGAAAAGAATCGGGAAAGGGAAGAAATGAAAATACCTATCTCACGAGGAATCTGTGAAGCTTATGTGATATGAATGGAAAAGGCACAGTCCTGGCTAATAGTGAATGCGTGAGGAGCTTTGGTCATTACTAGAAGGCTGATATTACTTAGTCTTAAAGTGATTTTTCACTTTATCCTCATCGTTGGTTCATACTAGGCAACGTGTGTGTAAATATTTTTCTAGAAAGTTCATTAGCCACATAGTCACTCATTTAATGGTATTTAGCTGACCTTTGAGTACATAATACAATTCCATTCTGGTAATTCGCTTTCCTTGTAGAGCTCCTTCGCAGACACATATATCAGTTTCTAATGAATTTACCTGGGAGGCCCGGAGTTCACGGTCTGAATGGTTATGTTGTTGGACTCAGTCTTGCTTCACTGTATTTTAGTGACAGCACAGTTCCCCCTGGGCACAAGAGCACTTCACTTAAGAAAGCTAATGAAGGTCTTTCCTTTCTTTTCTTTCCCATCTTTGGTTTCCTTTTACTTGTCATTAATTTTTAACAACTGTTATGAAAATGAAAAAGAAATGTCTTTCTTCTCTTTGAGGTGTCAATTTTGTCTCTCCCTTCCTGCCAATCATGGAATTGGTGTCTCCCATACACCTCTTTTATCTGAACACAGCTTCTTGTGTGATCTTGCCTGATGAAATCCCAGGTCTGAGGTCAAGTTAACTAGTTTCTTGCCAGAGCAGACACATGTGGCAGATGTCAGCAAATGTAAATCTAACCCTGGAAAAACTACTGTAATCAGTGAGGTTGGTTTTGCTGTAACCTCATCTACCTCATCACAAGCTTCCTTACAGCCTTCTTTACTTGCTCACCCAGAACCCTCAAGGTGACAGAATAGACAGAATAGTGTCCTACATCAGCCTGGCTAGTTTTCCCTCTGTACCATTCTGAGTGCTTGATAATCCCTTGTTTATCCTAACAAAGCATGACCAATGTGTTCTCAAGGTCGTGCATTTATATGTTTAATTCTCCAAAGTCAGATATTGTAACCGGTACAGATCAGTGCCACTGACTCTTTCCACTTCAACTTTCCCTCCTTCAGATTGCCTCTAGGCTCATAGAGCATGGGGGCATCTTCGGATATGGCTAAAGGGTTATGTTGGATATACCTTTAGTTTGTTTAATGGGCTACATTTATGGGATTTGTAGCACTTCCATGAATAATTACTATTATTATTTATCTATCTGTTTGTTTATATTTTAATTCCAGTATAGTTAACATACAGTGTAATATTAGTTTCGGTGTACAATATAGTGATTCAACGCTTCCATAAATCATCCGGTGCTCATCAGGACAAGGGCACTCCTTAATCCCCATTGCCTATTTCACCCATCCCCCCACCCCATCCCCTCTGGCAACCATTGGTTTGTTCTCTGTAGTTAAGCGTCTGTTTCTTGTGGAGCACCTGGGTGGCTCAGTCTGTTAAGCGTCTGCCTTTGGCTCAGGTCATGATCTCAGGGTCCTGGGATTGAGCCCCACGTTGGGCTCCCTGCTCAGCATGGAGCTTGCTTCTCCCTCTCCCTCTGCTGCTCCCCCTGCTTGTGCTCTTGCTCTCAAATAAATAAATAAAAAATCTTAAAAAAAAAAGTCTGTTTCTTGGTTTGTCCCTTTTTTGTTGTCGTTCTTCTGTTTTGTTTCTTAAATTCTGCATATGAGTGAAATCATATGATATTTGTTTCTCTGACTGACTTATTTCGTTTAGCATAATACTCTCTAGCTCCACCCATGTCGTTGCAAATGGCAAGATTTCATTCGTTTCATGGCTGAGTAATACCCCATTGTGTATATATATATGCCACCTCTTCTTTATCCACTCATCAACTGATGGACACTTGGGCTGCTTCTATATCTTGGCTATTATAAATAATGTTGCTGTAAAAATCGGGGTGCATGTATATCTTTGAATTAGTGTTTTTGTATTTTTTGCATAAATACCCAGTAACATGATTGCTGGATCATAAGGTATTCTAGATCATAGTTCTATTTTTAACTTTTTGAGGAACCTCCATACTGTTTTCCGCAGTGGCTGCACCAGCTTGCATTCCCACCCACAGTGCACGAGGGTTCTTTTTTCTCCACATCCTGGCCAACACTTGTTATTTCTTGTAAATACTTATTATTGTTATAGCTGTCCTAGTGCAGGAACTATTTCCAGGAATACACCTACCACCCTCTGTGCCTGTCTCCCTGTACCTGACACAAACGCACAAGGTTAGAATCTGTATCGATATATAAATGTGTTGGAAATTAGCTGGCACTGCAAATAGGTAGGTTTCTTCCAGATTAGTCAGAAGCTAGTCTGAGAAACAGTCTTGCAGTCCTCATCTGTGTAAACCGGTAAGAAAAACTTCAGTTCTAATTAATGCCAGGTCAAAAGACAAATTCTCTCCTGTCAGGATAGACTTGATAATGCAGGGTACACTACATCCTACACTTTTAATGGAAAATTTAAAGTAGACTTGAACTGCAATACAATTCTAGAAAGACAGAATTTTTGTCTTTTTAGGAAATAAACCTGTAATTATACAGCAAAAAAATAAGTAGGTCTGTTTTTATGGATCTCAACTATCAATTAGATAAAACCAAATTTTGATCAACCTTGCTCTAGAAAATACTAGATACTTTACATTCTCTCTGAAGAAATATTACAAATATTATTATTACACAAATAAGTGAGCAAGTAATCAACCTAAAAATGTAGGAGAATGTATTATATATGTGTATTAAGCAATTAATTCATAGAACTATTTTCTGGATTTTGTGACATTTATGTTACTTCCTCAAAGTGTATAACTTATTGTACTTTCTTTTCCAGTTCTAAAAAAAATTTACTTATCTATATATTTTGCATTCATAACTTTATTTTTTGTCTTAAGGAGGGGCTTCAAAATTATATAACCTTCAGGATCCATACAAGCTGCATCCATCCCGGACTCCAACTCCATACATCTTAGCACCAGAAAACAAATGTTAGGGTGGCAACGAGCATTTCGTGTTACCCTTTGCACTAATTCTATGTTGGGGTACTATCTCTGCTATGTACCCATTCCCAAGGGTCTTCCTACAAACCAACTCTATGAAATGGACAGTCGGCTACATGTCTCCACGCTCTGGTTGTACCCTCTGTCCCAGAGCTGACAGTGAAGTAGAAGTTAGTAAATCAGGGACCCTGTGTGGGGATAAGAGATGGAAGAGGGTTCCAGGGAGCTGTGGGTATTAAAGCTGGAAGGAGGGAAGAAAGAGAGAGAAATGGTACAGATGATCTGATAGAAGAAGCACATCACATGAGCAGAGAGCACTTTATTTCTGTTCAATTCCCAGTTCCAGACCTTCTGTGTCCTGAGATCCATGGAACTATCTATAACCTTATAACACCATTGCTTCACATCTCTCATTTATTGGGATTTGAGTGGCTCTCTATTCCTGGCGTCCAAAAATGTCCTCAAAAGTCATCCTTCCCAATAAATTTGCATTTTACTGGCAGATTCTGGAAAATAATAGCTATGATTAATTGAATGCCAGCCAAATCATTGAATACCTACACCATCTCTAATCTTCACAACACTCCCAGTAGGCAGCTAGCATCAGCATTTTACAAGTGAGAAAACAGCCTCAGTGAAGGGGGGTGACTTGCTAAAGGTCATGGAACTGAAAAGCCAACCTGGATAGGAACTCAGCTTTGGCTGATTCCAAGCTGTGCCTCGTTTCTGTTATACTATACTGCCTGCCAATATCTAAAGCCAAAGGAATTCATTTCTGCTGATGGACTTTTATACATGATTTTGAATACATGGCTGCTGGATGTTAGAAGCCGTACAGACAATCTAATCTAACCCCTCATTTTTACATTAAGGTCACTTATAAGCGATGTTGCTCAAGGTTCCAGAATAAGTGTCCAAGAGGAACCAAGAACAGAAGTCTTGTGGTTTCCTTCTGTTAAAATTGACCTGTTCTGCGTATGTGTGAGAATTCCAGACATAGTCTACTACTGTTTTCTGCTTGAATAAAACTCTTTGTGTCTGGTAAATTCACATCTAATAATTCACATTTTTTATTTCAAAAGAGAACACTAATAGGCCATATTAAAGGAACTGAAATATTAATTCCTTTAAAAAGGGTTTAAATTTAATTCCACATGTTTATTCATATTAAAGGCTTTATATGTCATCTGGTTTATTTAAAAACTAGAAAAAATGACAGTAATACTTGCTATCAATAGCACCTGTTGTATCAATACTCCATAATGTAATATTCTCTCTCTCTCTAGAATATATATATGTATATAGACAATGAAACTTAGATAAATTGACTAACATACAAAGCCACCCAAATAGTAAGGCGCAAAACAGGATTTA